GCCAGGGGCCATGCTCTGAGTAGCCGGGGGAAATCCCCGGCCCCCGGCCCTTAGTGACAACCCTGAATTTCATGGTGCATCACGGTGTTTTAAGGTGTTACACGGGTAGATACACGTTGTTACGGGTTGTTTTAGGTCTTTTACGGCGTTTCATGGTGCTACACATTGTTACAGGGTGTTACCCGGTGTTACATTGTAGTACACCGTGTTTCATGGTGTTACACGGTTTTACAGGGTGGTATACGGTTTTACAGGGTGCTTCACGGTGTTTCATGTTGTAAGACGGTGAATTCATGGTGTTACACGGTTTTACAGGGTGCTTCACTGTCTTTCAAGGTGTTACGCGGTGATATATAGACGTTGTTGCGAGGTGTTACACGGTGTTTTATGGTGGTAAACGTTGTTACAGGGTGTTACACGGTTTTACAAAGTGTTACACGGTGTTACAGGGTGTTACACCGTGTTTCATGGTGTTACAGGAAGCTTCATGGTGTCTCATGGTGTTACCAGAACCGTAGCTAGCATAAGGCAAGACGAGGTAGTTGCCTTGTCTCGATTTTGACCTTTTTTTTTTGAAGAAACGTTTGAAACTAGACCAAAACTCCTTTCACAGTCTCACTTAGAGCTTGTAGCAGCTTAAACTTTCCGAATATATTTTAGCCTACGTAGCATGTCGGTTTTGTCGTGCGCACTCGCAGTATCACTTGGCCTGTTTGCGCGCCCGACCAAAACCGCCATGCTACGTAGGCTAAATATATTTAAAAGAACCCTTGCAATAACCCCGTAACGTGGAAACAGCTGGTAAAAGCAAAATGGTTTATGTCTCGAAACTACCGTGCGGGGCAGGGTAAGCTTTCGAACAGCTGGAACTGGATCCGGTGATTGGCAGATTGAATACACTCTCAATAGTAGTAGTAGCAGTAGGTGGAAGAGGTTGTACTACGCAGCATCTGTACTCTCAGCAATTAACCCAGTACTTTTTCCGGGAAAAACAAAAAAAAAAATTTTGCTCATAATGACGCACTATGCCTAAAATTATGCTAGGATAATCGATAATAGCCTACCCATATCCGGGTGTTGGGTTCTTGCTATTTTCCTAGCAATTTGTTTGTTTGTCTGTTTTTTGTTGTTATGTATTCCCTTTATCGTCTTTATTTACCGATTGTCTTTTGCGGACCAATCCTTGACGTTAATGACAAGTTTTTGCAATACATATGTTACCGGGTCCCGGGCGCGAGCGGTCTGCCGGAGGCATGGCACAAATACAAGGGGCCATGTAAAATGTTGGAAATAAGAGGAAATGCATGGGAATATCGAATATCGTAATTTGATGAGATCAATTTTTATGTATAACATAGAAACACCTTTTCACCTGAAATGATATGTACTGTCGTTCTCCAGCTGTAACGACGAATTATAGTAATTTTAAATTTGAAGGGTTTTAGATTCGACGTTTCATAACTGAGCGTATGTTAGAGAGACAAGGGAGAAAAACTCGGCAACTCGGCAAATGACGCGAAAATAAAGATCGGCGAAATTAAGCACGAAAAAATAGTGATTGAAATGGTAAACATCGGAGATTATAGACATTTTTGTTTTTTGCAAACATGATCATGGGCGTGGTCCGATGTCGACATATTTGCATCAGCATATCACTAACAAGTACTGTGCTATAAAATGACTAATGTATAGAAAAGGAGGACAAAGATACAAGTCCATTTTTTGAGAGCCTGTTCACAGACCTCTATTCTCTCATTAAAGGTAGTCGAGCGCGAGTGAGAAATTAAAAACCGCTGGGGATTTTTTGGCCGCTAGCGCGCGGAGTAGGGTGGGTAAATGAGAAAAATGACGGTCTGTGGACTGAAATTTGCTTTCTCCAGATTGAAAAACAATTAACATTATGCAATAGAATATATTCATTACATAGTAACATAATACAGGTTCCTTACTTTTGCGTCTTGTTTGGTGAGGAAGTCGACAAACGCGAATCCTCTATGTGTTCCAGACCCTGACAGCTTTTGAGGAAGCCGAAGTGTTTTGATTTCTCCGAAAGTGCTGCGAAGAAAATAAATATAACTTTTTTGGTAATTGTCTGTCTCTGTCTTTACTTTTAAAACTTCAAAGTTTTTGAAAACACATAGATAGTACCGCTATGTATAAAACCCATGCAGAGAGCACTCAAGAGAAGTTTGGGTACAGACGTTCCGACCCTGACCCTGTTCAAGACAAAATCGTTCATTTCGCTACCCTAATAAAGAAAAGAAACCTAATTTCACCACCTTGATTATATCGTTTCGCACACAGAATTAACTAATTATGGAATTAGGTTTACAAAAAAAGTGGTTGATACCACACATGTAGACCGCTAAACTCTCTT